AACAAAATTACATCAGTTTTCGAAATAACCAACACCTTTGGGCAGAAGGAAATTTCTAAACCAAAATAAGTTCGTTAACTTTCTCATGCCATTTTCCAAAAATATTACATATAATAACACCTTTAGGCAAGATATTATATGCAATAAATCAAAAGTTGTTGGTCAAAAATATATGTATTTTTATTGTAGAGAAAATTGAATAAATAATAATGAGTGTGCCACTTTGGCAGCTACCACCCATTTTTATTTTAAAATATTTCTCTCATAGTGGGAAAATAAGAATAGTTTCAATGCCCATGAGAATTCAATCACAAAATAATAATTATATAATAAATCATAATTATTAATCGATAAACAAAATTTATATGTGATTTGGAGACAAAATTGGCAACAAAATTCAATATTTCAATATTATAAAAATTGAAATTTAAACACGCAAACAAAAAAATTAAAAAAAATGACAACATTTAAATACATAATCATTTTAATGAAATAATACAAAAAGTCGTCAACTAAACTATTATTATTATTTAATATATTCCAAATGAGTCAATTATCAAATAAAAATTTTTAACTGTGTCAAAATTAAAATTTAGGGTCAGAACTTTATAAGTTCAAATTAAGAGCCCCTTATTGAAAATTACATTTTAACCCTAAATTAAAATCAGGTCCTTCAATTGCATAAATTATATGACAGGCCCTCCTTATATAATTTACAAAACCTAACCCTCAATCTGTAATTGTAAACAGGGGCTTGAAAATCGAATATTTACAACAGGAGCCCCGTCTCCCCTTAGACCTGTTAACGCAATTTTTTTTTCTGTGGCGCCGGTAGTACCCGGCGCTGCTACCACAGCAGCAGTCGGAGGCGATTCTGGGCGGCGCTGCTGCCTGAAACGCAGCAACAGTGTTCGTCCCAAATTTTTTTTTTTTTTTTTTAAACATTGGGCAGATTTTGCATTTAATGTTGGGCAGATTTTTGGAAAAGCAATCAAAACTAAAATAAATTGTAAATGATAAATTCAAGCAGACAAAGCAAAGCGGGAATATTGGAATGGCTACTGGGTTTCCTTTTGATAGTAAAACATTGGGCAATTAATATTCAACTGCAAAAAGAAAAACCTGAATTCTTGGCTTCTTCAGGATAACAAAAATTTCAATGAAAAGGAAATTATATAGACATGCAAACACATACAGAGAGAGACCTTGAAGAAGTGAGAAAATTGTGGGTCTTGCAGTGCCATTTAGAAAAATAATGAAGGGAAGAGAAGAGGCGGTTCAGCTGTTTGAGGGAGGCAGAGAGAAAACCAAGTTTCAGCTTTTGCAAGTGGGTTTTGTTGATTAGGGGAAAGCCATGGGTGATTTTGGATTTCTTTTCTTATATCTATACAATGAATGAACACGCATATGCACAGAACACGTGAAATCAATTTCAATTTTTTTTTTTTTTTGAAAACTTAACAATTCCAAAAACTTGAATTGACGGGTAGCGGATTTAGAATTATTCACTCAGAGAGAGAATATTATTTTAATGACGGATTCTGATCTTAGCATTAGATTCTGATACCAATTGTTGAATTTAATTTATAATCATGCTAAGAATCGAGAATCATCAAATAATAAATTAATAAATCAAATTCATACCTGCGGAAGCCATTGTTGACATGAATAATAGTTATAATAGCGGTCAAGATCTTCCCCTCCTTGCTCCTCACAAAGTAAAAGCTATCAATGGGGCAAGCTAATGAAAAACATATGGAGAGGAGGGGGGACCTAACCTTTATATATAGGAAATAATTCGAGTCATCCCATTACGACTAGAATTCTAATTAGGGTTTATTTCCGACCCACATACTTTAAATTACCACATCAAATTAATTACAACCCGTAAGGTGTAAAAAGCCCAATTGATCAATTAATAAATTTGGCCCAAACACAAATATCATTATGAGCCATATATCTAACCCGTAAAATTTTACAATCGAATGTGAAGCCCACATATGAAATTATTAATTATTCCAACATTTTGAACCTGAAAGATTTAGCAAAGTTTCGATTAACTACAAAGGAAATGACTTTGAGTTAATACCATTTGGTTCTGGCAGGAGGATTTGTCCGGGAATTTCATTTGTCGTAGCCAGTCTCGAGCTGATTTTAGCTCGACTCCTCTATCACTTCGACTGGAAACTTCCGGATGGCATTACCCCGGAAAATTTTGACATGAACGAGAACTATGGTGCAACAGTTGGGAGAAAAAACAGTTTGTGTTTGGTCACCAAGTCTTATCGTCCATAAGATGGATGAAGCTAATGACACAGGAAATGTAAAATTAACTATCTTAGGGTAAATTCATAGCCCAATTGTCACACTGGAAACTGGAGCAGATGGTTGGAGCATGTTTTTGCATAATATGTGCGCTTGTTTATTTACTTTCTTTGCTAATAAGAAGAGTTTGCAAATCACATTTGTATGAAGCATGTAACTTTGTTGAAATAAAATTTGATATATTTTGGAGTTTCTCAAAATATTGATTGATTTTTCGGTATTATGTGCAAATCATTGTGAATATCGATTGTGCTTTGTCTTTTTTTTTTTTTTTTTTTTTTTTTTTTTTTTTTTTTTTTTTTTGCTATGTTTATATGAATGAAATGACTAAGAATCGCTTCCAAATATTATTTTTAATTGATTTGAACACAAGACAATTATCAAAAATCAAAGTGTGTCCTGAAATGTGCTTTACTCAGTAAAGTTTAGCCGTCATTGCCCACTCTTGATTAAAAACTCGTCAACTCTCAAAATGAAATCGAAATCATGGTCGTAAAATCGTTGGTTCAGGTCCTTGTAGACCCATCAATATATTTGTTTTAAACCAAACGGTTTAGTTTAAATTTCTAGAGCTAAAAAACATTTAAAATCAAAACCAACTGTTTGTATACAATAAATATAAGTTTAACCAACAATGGTAGCCAATTGAACGCTTCGTTAAAGAAACTCGTGAACAATTAACATTTTCGCTCGTACTTTTAACATTAATACTTATATTTTTAACATTAATACGTATATGTACAAGAAACACGTGAACAATTAACATTTTCACTCGTACTTCATATATTAATTTGTACATGTATAAAGAACCCATCAATGAACTCAATAAAAGTATAATTATCTTTCATTTCCTTTTATTCTTATTTTGCTCTATTTGGCTTTCTTAGCAGTTTTCCTTATTGTTAATACATACGATTAATTGAACTTCAAGATATTATCAGTGGCTTCGAGAACCAATATTTGAATTTTTTTTTTTAAATTCTAGTTATGGGTTTTTGTTCTGCCAGTTGAATAATTATCCATATCAAAATTTTTATTAATATGTACTAGATTTCAGAGAACGATATGCAGTGGAAGCCAATTTTGATTTCTTTTAGCTTGAGACCATTACATTAGTGTTCTAATATTTATAATAGAAAGTTCAATTCAAACATTATATTGAAATTTTAGACAAATATAGTTATGTTCAAGTTGTTTTAAAATATTTAAATTTTATTTCTCGCTAGGTAAATTGTGGTTTAAAATCAAACCAAACTGCAATTTGATTTGGTTTCAAAAGTAAAATGGATTGGTTTTTAAATAGGTCAAAAATCGTTCAAGCTAAACCGTGTAAACACCTAATTATGACAATAAGAAAAAGGGCCACAAAATCACATACTTCTCACATTACATCTATAGTTGTCAGGACACGAAGAATATCTAGAAACCTATTCGAAATTTCATAAATTAATTTGCCATATAAAATTTTCTAAAATTAGAAAATAGCATAATTATAAGAAATCTAATTAATTGAGCTCCAAAAGTTTGTTTTATTATTATTATTATTATTTTTTTTTTTTGAAAAATGTATATTATGTATGTAGCAATGTTTTATTTTAATACCTTGACTCCAGACTTTCTTCTTCCCCACAAGGCGAATTCTAGAGGAAGATGCATAAATTATTCATTTGTGGAATTTTTAAGTTCGAAAAGTTCAATCATTTTCCGCAATCAAGGAGGAACAAGTATCAAATCTCGTTGCCTATATTCGATCTTCATAAGGATTAGTGATTACAATAAAACTGGCTGCATTGGGTCATATGGGCCTTGTGCTACTAGGGGCACCACATGGCACCCCCTATAAGTATGGGGATTGTAGCCTGTACAACCAGCGAAGTCCTAGTGATTAATGATAATACTACATGTATACTTCAAAGTGTACACACGGGTTTACACCCTTCCCCTCGCATGGAGGGGGCTCACGCATAATTTATTGTATGTGTGCCCCTCTATGAGGAGGGATGTAAATCCGCATGTAAACTATTACTTACATGTAGTATCACCCTATAATTAATCTGATAATCTGTAACAGGTACAATAATTTGCAGGGCTGCAGTTGGTAGAAGATGTACGGTTCAAGAAACTTTATCAAGATTGGCAATGGAAGCCATGGCATTTGCAGGAATTTTTTTAATGCCAAAAAGATTTTCTCCTTCACTGAAATTACTCGATTCCCCTTTCTGGGTTGAAATGAAAATTACTTGCGTTAATCAACGAGCACAAACTGAATCAAATAAACTTGACAAGGACGAGCAATCTGAAGAAGATTTTAGCTCGACTCCTCCCCTAATTCGATAGGAAGCTTCCGGACGGTATCCGTATGGAAAAATTTGACATGACTGACAACTTTGGTGCGGTTGGGAGAAAAAAGTGCTTGTGCTTGATTCCCATGTCTTAACTTGAGTAATGCTATTCATAAATAGCGACTACAATAGTCATCCCGTGGGTCAATTTGTTATCGAAGGATTAACTTGTTATTTGAGGCAACAAAATTACAAAATATTAATGTCGCAAATAACAAGCTACCACATGAGATGTTGCGTAGGACAGCTGCCATAGTCGTTGACTACAAATACAATTATTCCTTGTCTTCCATCAGATGAATGAATGTAAGTGTGTTTATTAATCCAAGATCATAGATCAGAAGCACAGAACAGAGTAGTCATGTAGTAAATCTTCAAACCGATAAGTTCATAATAATTCATATTGCAATCCAGCTAAATCTTAAATTCTGAAGGTCAACTTAGACATGATAACAAATCGTGGCCACAGATTTCTGGCCAACAGAAATGGAGAGCCATCCACAATTTATAGAACAGGAACAAGAAATACGTGTCACCCTAAATTATATAAAAAAAAAATTATTTTAATCACCAATAAGAACAGCGGAAATCATCCTGCTTCGAAATTCTCATTCCATCCATCAAAATTTTCGAAATTGCATTTCCATGGAAAGGAGTTACTGAAGAGGAATACCTCCACCAGAAAACTCGACCTCCTGAAAAGAAAAGGAACAAGAAAGAAACACTTGAAGTCAAATTGGATTTCTGTTAGACAATATCTTGTTATATAAGTATGATTTCGAAAATTATGAAGTTTAATGTCTCTGCAACTTCTGTCAATGTCCACGACTACAATTTTCTTTTCTCAAAATCCTTTTAACATGCAGTGAGAGCAATGGAAGTACATTAACAAAATATAGCAAAGCAGCTGAAATATTGTAAAAGGTAAACGAATATTGATCAAGTTGAGGAGCCGAGTAAGAACTTTTATTGCATGAAGAACTGACTCTCAACTCTAGCTCTTTATAGTCTTTTTTCTACGGAATTCCTAGAAAAGGTGATTTCACTATATTTCTGACCAGGCACGGGCCCTATCATAGAAAAGAAACTATCGATTTTTCCACAATGCATTCTTTTCCTATTCCTTCTACGCCACAGGTTTAAAACCAAAAAAGACTTGTTTTTTTCTCAAGAACTTTTATTGCATGAAGAACTGACTTTCTCGACCCTAGCCTACTAGAGGATTTTCACCACATATCGAGACAACACACAGGTGCAAAAGAAATTGTTTATTCTCAAGTCATTAACGCCCTTCATTTTCTCTTCAAAACAATATAACTTTTCACTAAATTAAGCAACACAGGCTTCATATTTGTTAGTGTTACTTGAAAATCATGATCAGCACAGCCTCACCATTCCAGTCCTATATGAGTAGTCTCATGAAAAAACTTTTGGTCGTTAAAATTGATTGTAAATTGAAGCTTGATTTCTTCAGAATGGATACGCTTAAGGTGTAATTCTTGAATACTATAGTTATCATGAACTCGCTTAGTAACAACGTGTTATAAATAAGTTGAGCTCAACAGCGATTCAAATATATATGCTCAGAATTGGGTCTCTCTAAAAATGCAGAGACTTCCTGTGATAATAAATGAAATTCAAGTCTACATGGGAGTTATCGACCAAACCTGAGCAGGAGGCAAGGATGAGACCCAGTCTGATACATGAGTTGGAAGAAGACCCAATGTATTAAGCTGCCACAACAAGTAAAATTTCGTAAGCTTTAGAAATGCTTTACAATTCTATGCTAAGCATTACAATGGCTTCTACAGAGTTAAAAAAGGGACCAAACCTTCCAAACCCCCATTCCTAATCCAACCAAATTAAGAGCAATGAAGACTAATTTTGGCAGTAGGAGATCCACTTTATTGTCCTTGTAAGGCTCGAAAACTACAAATCGAAGATGAAAAAATGGCATCAGAAGCTAGCAGAACATGTAACTATGTAACTACATACAAAATTGAACCAGTTAGCTCATAAATCAGCAAGAAAATAAACTTCCTAGAAAGAAATGGCAGGTAAATCATATTACATAAACAAATAGTGGATAGTCTAAAGAAGTGTTCAGCCAAGCACAACAAAGAGGTAACGGCAGCCACTTAAATCACTAAATTGATCAAAATACTTACGTATACAACTAAACATGGACCCAAAATAAATGGGAGGAAAAGCAAGAAAACAGTATAAACTTGCACTGCCATAGTTCTACGAAGTTACAAATTCCAGCATAAAAATGGCCATAAAACAAAAAGTTATGGCGTGAAAATGGGGCTCACCTTTCCCAACCCCTCGAAGAGCATTTATCGGCTGCCAAAGAGCTGAAAAAGTGATACCGATGCTAAAGAGATGAACTGTACTTCCAGACATCCACATCATGAAACCCATCATGAACAAGTTCTTAAAAGGTGCTTGTGCAACTTCCCATGCTTTCTGTTATGTAAAATAAACATGTAAGTGATCGTGTAGAGATCAAAGATTTCAAGACTCGAAATTTTAAGCAGGAATCTAGAATAGGAGCCAACAACAATTGGGATCATATAGGGAGCAGATAGGATCTTTTAGAAGTTGCATGTCTCCACCACAAATATAGTAGATTTTCGTATAGCATTAGAAAAATATGATTCCACCTCCAACCACCAAGCCATGAATCATTGAATCTACCAATGGCCAAAAGGATATAATTATCTTTCTAAGTATTTATCACTTGATGGGCTGAAGGAAAAACCTGCAACCCAAGCCCCATAATTAGACTGATTGCAGCAAACATTGATAAGTGTGTTTTATACACTTATTTAGCTCACAAAACATGAATATTTGTTGGCAAGTATGTTGGAATATGGTTTAACTCTATACAAATCATGTTTTGCAGGATAACAATGATGAATATGGTGAAATTTAGGAAACACAAGCAAAAATGGGCCAAAATAGAAGAAAATCAAAGTTCAAGAACCAAAATGCAAATAGCCAAAAGATAACCCAGAAGACAAAATGAAGATATGAAAGAGTTGAAGACCAATTTAGCGAAAACATGAAGTATTGGAAGAATAAAAAGTGAGAAAAGAGATCAAGAAACAAGAAAACGGAGTTTGAGGACCAAAACGCAAAGAATAAAATAGTATAGCATAGTTATTTTCACCATGCAATCGCATGGCATGGTTCAGGGAAGTCCAAGGTTGAAGTTCATTGAACCATGTTATAGCACCAAAGGAAAAATTCTGGTTTCCACGTACAACTCTTATGGAAACATGATTTGGGACGTATTTTAAAGACCTAGGGCCGTCCACAAGTAGTTTACCATGCATTATAACACATTCTAAGAGATTTTGGAGCATATAAGAAGGCAAGAAACATGAAGATCGATTCCAAGACGCGAAGATTCAATTCAAGATATATTTGGGTGATGTTGATTCTTCAATATTTCTTTAGTTCTCTTCACCCTAACACGCTAGACTAGATTTCTTTGTGTGAGAAGAACGATGAATTGTGTAATATGAGTTTTAAATCTTTAGTTTTACATATTTGACATTGAAAGCACGTTTTTGGATATTGAATGATTTATATGAATTTCTTTTATCCACAATTATTGTGCATGATAGTTGTATAATGTGATTGCTTATTTTATGCATTCGAAAGAAAGAAAATAGGCTCTATGTGATATAAATCGCCATAGGGTCTGATAGAGAATACAAATATACAGCTATGCCTTATGTGAAATTTTAAATGTTTATAAAAATTCATGCACTCTTGTACATTCGCATCCGTCATAGAAATAAAGTCGGACCATATATGAGAGTAGGTTTAACATTACTCAAGAGAGATTGTTAGATAAAATAGGAACATTAATTCTTCAAAATTCAACCATGTTGTCAATGTGTAGAACTAAGGATAAAAAGAATTATTACATGGAAATTTACAATCATAGTGTGTTTGTCGTTCATTAGAACACATCAATTTTTATTTAGCATAATTTGCATATAGTTATTTAAATTCACCCATAATTGCATAAGTTGCTTACTTTAGTTATAATTTCGTCACAAACAATCACATCTTATTATTCTTATTTCGGTTAATGTCATCATAATTAAAATCGAATTCAATCAATCTCTGTGGATGATACTCGAATTCAAATCTACTTTATTATTTTTTAACAAATCGTACACTTTCGATGGTTTTACAAAAGATAATTTCGTGAATAAGCATAAGGTCAGTCTCCTTCAAAATCACTAGTGAGACAGTTGAGACTTGTCCTTTCTATTTATAATCTTCCTACAACAGTTGGGAGCTTGGAACACTATAATGCCACAATAAGTTTTCATAAATGGTTGATGTTTATGGAAAATGAAAAGAAAGATTTTTTTATTTTTGGTAAACTCTTTCCACAAAGAACACAGTAAAAAGTAATCAACAACTGTGCCTTTTGATGGTACTTATCAGCATAGAATGAAGGTCATCCTATCCAAGGTTGTCATTTCTGAGTCAGATTGTAAACAAGAACAAAAAAGGGAAAAAAAATTGAATTACGCAACATTTTAAATGATTAACATAATAATCTAACAGAAGTTGTACTTGACCAGACTTGGGAGATAGGGATTCCAGAGACCATCCATGTATCCAACATAATTGTCAGCCAAGAAACTAAGAAAAAGGTGAACAATAATCCTCAATTATTTCTCTGCTCTCTCCCCCTACAGACTTGTAATCCAGCTTCAACGGTAAAAGAACACAAGTAAAGCTCAATCACTAACTCACAACATCTTCTGTCAACATTATAATTCCAATTCCTAACTTAGAATTGTACAGCCTAACAATATTATCAAATCAAATCAAATTATTATGAGGAAAAAAAAATACCTGGGATTTCCAGTTAGCTTCAGCATCTTTCTTTTGTTTATTAACCAATAAATCATCCTGCAAATAAACAAAAAATAGTAATAAAACCTAATTACAAAAAAGTCAAACCCAAAATTCTCTTCATTCTACATATCCCATGAAGGCATTAACACACCAAATCACACAAATAACCTGGTCGTGAGCGCCACGGGTGAATCCAGGTGGATCCGGGATGTCACGGGAAGAAGGGGAACTGGAATTATCGGTGAATTCCACGGCCCATCGGCGGCCAGAGCCCATTACTGCTTTTCCCTTGTCCATTTTTATGGGTAATTCAAGATTGTACACAGTCAGCGTGATTATACGGTTAAAATGGATTTGTGGATTTGTAATCTGGCGGACACAGATTGGCCGATGAATTTGCGTTTATGTGTCTACTGCCGGCAGCAGAACACAAGATTTTATCGTGAAGTACCTGTATTTTAGTACTTCTGTACTTGGAGGTGATCTTTTGAATTATATTTATTGTTATAAAAATTTATATTTACTGTATTCATTATTTTAAAATGAAAAAATAATATCCATTAATATTACAAAATAAGAATAGTACATATAATAAAAAGAGGAATGCTACAAATATTCCTCTCACATTCAAGGATGTGACCTACAATCTAAATAATTGCGAGCCCCACATTTTATGAGAGGACTGTGAAAAAAAGTGTACAGCACTACAACAATGTTGTCCACTTAACATTTTTGTAATAAAATTATCTAAAAAAAACTTTAATTACATACTCATTTACGTTTCTCAATTGTTTTTGAAATATCAATAAAACTTTGGATAGGAAACAAATTAATTAAGATTAAAATTAATATTTTAATTATAAGTAATTAGAGAAGGTAAATTAGAATCTTAGAAGCTACCAAGAATACGCGGTTCAGGAGTGGTGAAAAGATATGTATCTCATTTAATGTGTAGTTGAAAATGATTTAGAAAAAAAAATTAATTGTAAAAATTATATGTTAAATAAGATTTTTATCAAATCGAATTGATTTTAGAAAATTATATAACTATAAATTAAAAAACTTGACATTGATGTTTTGAAGACGGCTCGGAATATGAATCTTTGAATATGTGAAAACAGTCACCCCAAACCAATTGGAACAAGGCGAAGAATTGGTAATTTTGACATAAATTGAACAATTTTAATTGTGAATCTACTCGTTCTTAAATAATTTTAATGGGTTTTAAATTTTTAATTTTTAACCTATATTCAAATTGATTTTCAATTTTTTCAATTAAACTAGTCGATTTAATCCGATTTTTATAACGTTGTTCCTAAGTTAAAATTGATCATTTTATTTGGTTTGAACAATCAGTTTGTCTTTGATTGTCAACTAAATTGCATCTAGCCAATGCAAAAGTTACACTTCTAAATATTTTTTAAACAATTGATTATATAGAATATGCTATCGACAAGATAAAAAAGTGATAGCTCGAGAATGACAATAGAGAAGGCAAAATGTTATGCTCTCATTGAGAATTAGAATGAAAATAGAAAAATAAATGGGGACCTGGCTTGACGCCATTCCACCGGGACATATATACATAATTGATTATGTTAATAAAATATTGGAGATGAATTTGAAACTTCATAAGTAATTTGAGGATAAATAGTGCAATTTTTCCTTCCCAAACAGCCTCGTTAAAGTCGCGTTATCCATTCATTCCAATTGGTAAAATCGCTCTCTCCTTCACACACACAGGACAGCCATGGCGGATGAGGAGGAAGAGAGGGTTCTGGAAGAACAGTTGGACCTCCAGCTAAAAGAACAGAGGGATTCTCTGAATGCCATCGATGATGCACTATCCGTCGATCCCTCTAACCCCGAACTCCAATCGGTGGGTGCCTCTACCTATGTGTACATTATGTATGTACATGGGGATGCATACAGGTTTATTTATCTACTGGATTCTTTAATGCATTTCATGAAAAAAAATTCTTTGGAGTATTTGTGATAAATGTTAGCTACACTGTTACTATTTTAGAAAGGCTAATTGGAATTTTTGCTCTTCGATTTGGGTTTTTATATTTTTTTTAATTAAGAATTTTACCTGCTGATAGATTCTTATTTACGTTTTACTGTGATGTAATTGTAACTTGAATTAGCCCCTGTTTGATCCCCCTTTTTCGGTTTTGTAACAGTGAATTTTTTGGAGAATGTGTGGTTAAAGGTAGCCAGGGTTTACAATCAAAATTATTTTATTTGGAGGATGTGTGGTTGAAAATGAGTTTGAAAAAATATGAGTTTTTTAAAAATGGGGCTCAAACAGGGGCTTAGTAAAATTCATAAAAATATAGAATTTTGGTTTTAGAGAATATTGCAGTAATATTTTCTCAGTTTTAGGGCAATAATTATTAAGTACCTGTTTATTCTCATTGAGTGTTTATTTTTGCACAAATTATGATATGGAATGGCATACAGTTGAAATGAAGTATAAAGGGTTGAAAAGTAAAAGGATGGTGGATTCCGTGATTGTCAAGGAAGTATTATGTTTTCAATTTGAGCATGCATAGAGTTTTCTTTGCCTTAGCGAGCTATACTAAGTTTAATTGCTTTGGGGCATGTAGAAGCTAAATGTTGCTTATAATGATTGAATTATGGAATTCTCTTACATAATATTATATGTTGCTTGTGTATGTTCTCTGGTGAATCCTTGAGGCTCATTAATGCTATATTCTGTTAGGTTTATGATGAGCTTGTTCAGGCCATCAAAGATGCTGAGGAAGGGCTCTTTCACCTAAAACGTGCAAGGTTGTTACGAGAGGCAGATTATGTTCTTCAAGATTCTCTGCATCCTGATGATGTCATAGTGAACTCTCTTGATGCAAGAGATGTTGAAGCTGAGCCACTGGTGGATCAAAGTAACTCTATTGGATCAAGATGTAGATTCCGGCATACTGATGGACGATGGTACAATGGTATCATTGTTGCATTGGAAGGCTCTGAATCTGCAAAAATTTCTTTCCTCACCCCAACATCTGAAAGCATGCTGGTGGGTACAAGTACATCTTAATCTTCTTTATAGCAGTTACCTTTTACTATTATAATTTCTTCTCGCAATTTTTTTGGCTAAAATTTATTTGCTCGCTCCAGCTTCTGAAAGCTTGTTGTGGGGTATATCTGATTCTTTCTTTATGGAAGTTACCTTTTTACTCTCTTAATAACTGCTCTCAATTTTTATTGAGCAGTTGAGCCTTCCCATTTTTATTTCTTTAATATGCAAGATCCATAAAAGGACCCAGGTTTGAGTTTGTCTGCTTTAGCTTTGAGGGCTGAGACTTAAGTTTTTCTTAGAGTTGGACAATATGTCCTCTATCTTCTATGGTATAAGCTTATATCCGAGAAACATTCCTCCAAATAGTGATTAAAAATGTGGAACACTTGGCCTAATAGAGCATTAGGTCTACTGGCTCTATGTCTATCTTTTGAACCTAATAGAATACGTTGACGTGGAATATTCTTTGAAGTCCCTTGTTTGAGTTTCGTAAGATTATAGAATCTTTATTCTGAGCCTTTAAGTTGACCAATGGCCAAGTGTATTGAGATAAATCTGGCATGGCTCTTCCTAGAAATTTTTAATTCCTTATTCTATTACAAAGACATTGCATCTGTTTTATGTTAGCAATACAGGAAAATGTAAAACTGTGAAGTGGGGGTGCGTCGGAGGGCTTAAGAAATGTTTATTGAGGTTGCTTGTATTAGAACCATAAATGGTTGTCTTGTTTTTTCTTGATTAGATTCAACTAACTGATATGCAAACTGAACTAGTCGCTATCTGTAGACCTATTTGACAGCGTTCCACCTGTAAAGCTGAAAAAAGAAAAAAAATGAAAATTATGTATGAAAGACCAACCAGGTTGGAGATGAGATCAGCAATCATTGGAGCTATAACCAGTAGAACAAGGTGAACGTTGCTGTATCCATGCTTTTGTTATTGAAAGGTGTCCTTGAACTTGGTAAACAAACCGGGTTCATTATTTGATCTCATCAGATGTCAACTCCAACCATTGTTTGAAGAGGGAGATTCTATCTCTTTCCATAATCCTTTCAGTATTTTTGTCACACTAGTTTGACCACAAAATTTCTCTAGAAAGAAGATGTGGGAACTTCAGGAGTTACTAATTTTTTTTATCCGAAAAGTTGTCTCTTGAAAATTTTTGTTTTCGCTCCATTACAATTTTGTGTACTATCATTTATTTTTAAAAAAAAATGTTCTGTATTTTCATCAAATATTATATTCTATCTGTTCTATAAGTGATACTATTCTGTTTCTGTTTGTAAACCGAGGAACTTTACAAAGCTCTATGTCCTTAAATCACTCGAGTATTGGTATCCTTGATTTTTTCTTCTTTCTAAATTTATATGAATGAATACACTGGATTTGGTTAGATTGTCTTACTAATTCTAGACCACCCAAGTGCAGATGTGCAAGTTCTTTCTACAGCAACGATGTCGATTTGGTAGTAATTGCCGCTTATCACATGGTATGTAAAGTACCACAAATTGCGAAGCATAGACCTTAGAGATGATTTTGGATGACTTTCACTGCCCCTGCCCCTTTTTGTGTCTCTTTTGTAATTAAAATGGATGCATGGCATTAGGTAATGGGGGGTTCATCTTTTTAGTCGCTGTAAAAGGAAGAGCTTCTGCTAAATTAATTTTGATTTCCTAAAATCTTTTGCGGAACCACCTAAAAGAATGAATTGGAGTTCCAACTTTAGTCTTTAACCAGCTCTATGTAGTTTGAGTAATTTCATTTGTAATGCAATCTACATCTCTTCCTTCCATTTTCTATCTGTTGTTGTCTTTGCTCTTCTTAGTACGAGGCCGATTCTAAACAATATCAGCTTTTACATCATTGATCTCACAATTTTGTCATTTATGTTGAACTCGATTGATGTCGAATTGTGTTTTCTTCAGGGATTGATGTCCCATTATCTGCATTAAAGAAGTATAGTGCGACAACTTGGGGGCAATCACTGGTGGGTTCCAGCATTTTGGCCCTTGCAGATTGTAAATCTGGCATCTGGAGAGAAGCTGAACTTGAATCATGGGATGAGAAACTCAAAATGGGGGAAGTTATTTTTCGAGATGATGGAAGTTCTGCAAAGCTTGGAACTGAAGCTATTACATTGTCCAAATATGCTCAGATGAGTGACGAAGATGAGAGTGACCTAGGTTCAGAGCAATCTGATTCAAGTGACTATGAAGAAGATAGTTCACAAGGATTAGGGTTTTTAGAAAGCTCGACCATGCAAAGAGGAGTCCAGACTGAAACTACCATTTTTGCCAAGTGGGAGAATCACACCCGTGGCATCGCTTCCAAAATGATGGCAAATATGGGTTATCGTGAAGGGATGGGGTTAGGCGCATCCGGGCAGGGAATTGTGGATCCTGTTACTGTGAGAGTCCTTCCACCAAAGCAATCTCTTGATCATGCTGTGAATACTCTTGAATACGAAGAAAATAAAGATCATGGAGGGAAGAAACGTAGTCGAGGTGGGAAGAGGAAACGTGATAAGAAATTTGCAGCTGCATCTCGAGCTGCTAAAGAGGAAGAGGATTCAAAACCAGACGTCTTTTCTCTTATTAATACCCAGCTCGCAATGCATGGAAAGATACTACATGGTAAGTCAACGAAAACGCACCCGAATGTGCCAAATGGTGGAGGAAATATAGAGGGTAGACGGGCCCTTGTTGCCTATGACGACGAGATAAAGGATCTGAGGGTGCAAATTATGAGACTGGAAGAAATGGTGAGCCGAAACAGGAAAGAAAAGGTGGTGTATGACGCTGCGATGAGGAAACTGAATGAAACTCGGAAAGCTTTGGCCGATGCTGAGGCTGCTCAAGCATCTGCATCAAATGCAGTTGTCAGCAAAGAGAAAGAGAAGAAATGGCTAAAGTTTTGATGGTTAATTAGATTGTTGCGTATGCTCTTTTGGTTGTATTTTTATGTTATCTGATTATCTTCGCTTCTTTAATATGTAGGGTTTGTTATCTCACTTCACCTTCATTTGTTTAACTGTGTTGTGCACAAATATTGTTTTGCAGTCTTACTGAAGTAGTTCGATGAAAGGGAAGAAAATTATCCAAACATTTGTTATTTTATTTGAGTTTAGGTTTAAGCCTGACAAGAAAAATATTCTATGATAAGCAATTTATTTATATTAATATTAAAATTGACTAGTGAGGAACTTATTAATTATCTCAGACAATTAGGAAAATATCATAAAAGATAATCATTGACTTCAATTCTGTGCATTACTAATCTGATTAAATATGATAAAAAGATGTATGGTAGTTTGGTGTTTTGTTGTTGGGTGGGGGGGGGGGGGGTTAAAAAAAGAATTCTTCCAACGGCTGCACCAAAAACCTCAGTCATGTCCAATTCTTGAGGACTAATCCCTCCAGGAATTTTCCAGTCAAAGTGGTAGAGAAGTCGAGCTAAAGCAAGCTCGACGCTGGCTATGCCAAAGGAAATACCCGGACACATTCTTCTCCCTGCGCCAAATGGTATTAACTCGAAATGATTTCCCGTAAAATTAATGCTACTTTTGATGAATCTTTCCGGTTCAAAACTCTCAGGATTCTCCCAATAATTTGGATCCCTCCCTATTGCCCAGCAATTTGTTATGACGAATGTATTTATGGGTATTTGATACGAACCAATCTGACATTGTTCTCTACATTTTCTAGGTTTCAGCAGAGGACCAGGAGGGTGTAATCTTAATGTTTCTTTGACGACCATTTTAAGGTATTTCAGTGTCTGGATGTCATTTTCTTGTATTTTTGTCTTTCCCTTGAAGGCCTGTCTCACTTCAGCTTGTGCCTTCTCCATTGTTTTAGGGTTCTTCATTAGTTCTGACATGGCCCATTCGACTAGTGTTGTTGAAGTTTCAATTCCAGCTATAAACATTTCCTGCTCAGTCATCAATTTGGATGTCAAAAAAACATTATAGTGAGGGAATTTGGAGTTCGAGCATGTTGAAGACTTAAATTTAACTATATAAATGTGTTCACTATTTTAAAACATAAGCTTCTGGATTAGCACTTGACATGAAATTTAGAAAGGTATATGCTTCAACCTAACGTGAGTAGGCTATATTCAAGTCACCCTACCACCCATTTATGAAAACTATGCACATACCAAATTGTTTGAAAAAAATAAATAAATAAATCTATTTTCAAATGACGGGTTTTGAAGACAATATAGCCAATAAAAAAATCTAATCGAGTTCAAGAAAATATAATAGAGATAAAGGAACAAGTAAAAACGCAAACAAAAAAATATAGGAATCATATGGCAGATTTACTCACAAAGATATTTGCTTTGATGTTGTCCCTGTTGATAGATATCTGAAAATCATTGCTCTCCTTGAGCCTCAAAAAAACATCCAGCAAATCTTCCTCCAGTGGCTCATCCACCCTTGTTCTTATTCTGTCTGCTTCATGCTCTTGGATTATTCCCTCAAGAATATGATCAATTTTTTTATGCATTTTAATTAATTTTTTATCCAATCCAAATAAGAAATGAATTAATTTCATTGAAGGAAATATATCAGCAAAATTAAAAACTCCTGCATATGATGCTGATTCTCTTATAAGCAATATTAGTTTTTCTTGATCTTTGCATCTTCTCCCAACAGCAGCTCTACACACAATGGAACTTTGAGCTGATAAAACCATTTCAGTCAGATTTATAGGCTGTCCTAAACTGGATTGAATCGACAAGATGAGTCGAGAAATTTCTTCGTCCATTATACTGTAATATGACTGAACTTTCTTTGGACTTAAAAGTTCCAAAATGCATAGTTTTCTCATCTGCCTCCAGCTTTCGCCGTAGTGTGAACCTCCAACGGCCGAAAAGTTGTAAAATATGATCTTGTTGACCATCAAATCTGGTCTGTCTGAAAATGCAAGGCCATTCGTTTGTAAAACTTCTTGGGCTATTTGAGGAGATGATATTACAACCGTTGAAAGTTCACCAATTTGTAGGTGCATTATAGGACCATATTTTTGTGCTAATTTGTTGAGAGAATGATGGGGTAGTGAACCTATCAGTTGGTGCAAGTTTCCAATAAGAGGGATTTTCCATGGACCTGGAGGAAATTTTGAAGGAATTATGAATCTTTTGCTGTTGTTGAATAGCAAGAACAGGAAGGAAATTATGAAGGAAAATGCAGTGAGGGAAAAGGAAGATGGGATTTCCATTGGAGGGAAGATGGGATATTGGAGGCATATTGTGGCTATTAATTATATACAAAGAGTCAGATTTTTTTTTTTTTTTAGGAATAATGTTATTCGTAGTCAATTACTAAAACAGTCATCTTATGTGGCAGTTTATTATTTGATGCATTAGCTTGTTGTTTGAGACAATAGAATTACAGAAAATTAATGCTTCAAAATAACAGGATGTTCACATAACGTGACCACGGTAGTTTTTGCTATAAATTAAATTAGATTAAGTCTATGTTTGACTCATTACTTTTAGATGTTTATAAACACCTTGGTAAAAAATGCTTAGTCCTTGCTTAAGCCCCATTTTTTGGAAAAAAAAAATGCATTCTTAAACAGTGTCACACATTTTCAATAAAATAACATTACATACAAATTTGAAATTTCTTTCTTATTTTTTAATCACACATTTTTCATGAATACATTATTTAAGAATGCACTCACAAATACTACTCACTTTTCAACCAGTCATTTGCTAATGTTTATAAGCTCCCTTTTGTTAACACTTCGAAGTGTGGTCATGTTTTGTTTTCGCACAAAATACAAACAATTTCTCGAAAAGTTCTTCCTCTATTCGCTCTTATCTCTCTTCCTATCTTCCTTTCTATCTTCTTATACAGTTCTAATAATTGTTAATTACATACTATACGTTCTATCTTCTTATACAGTTCTAATAATTGCTATGTACATACTGCACCATCTATAATTGAAAGCGTTCAATACAAGACGAGATTTAATTTTCAAGGGCCACTCAACGAGTGCATTTTCAAATGGGGATATATTTTAAAAATAAAAATGAAAATAAAATATTTTAATCCAGATTTTAGTCTCAAAAGGTGGCTAGATTCGTATTATCTACAAGTCAAATAAAATTTATATTTTAAAAATAAAAATGAAAATAAAATATTTTAATCCAGATTTTAGTCTCAAAAGGTGGCTAGATTCGTATTATCTACAAAGTCAAATAAAATTTATATTTTTCCACGATCCATATAGCTAACTGCTTGCATGTTGCAATAATTCATTCTTTTTTTATTGAGTGAATCACGAGGGTTGAATTGATATACTCTTACTGATACGTGTAAATTAGATTATTATAAGATTATTAGGATTCATTTGACATAACTTTTGAGAAATCAAAAAACTATTTTAGGATCCATTTACTTAATTTTGTAGAAGTGATTTTTAGGTAAAACTGACTTAATGTGTCTTCCAAAAGAGGAAGTTCTTTTAGAAATTAGTTTCCAAATACTATTTAATGTACTCCCTTGAGGAGGTTCGGAAGTAAAAGTAGATGTGAAATCCGACCGAATTGGACCTTAGTCTTGTTTTCATTGGTTACTTGGTTTGATACAAGTTTTCGAATGGATTGAACTACAAATCATTACAAATAGCGTGTCAACTATTGAGAAGGATCAACGCATGTTAGGTTTGTCATTGACAATATTTGGTGATCAATTTAGTTTGGTCTATAAATGTGTTCGTTCATTCATTCTTTATTTTTATTTTATCATGATTGCATTAAATATTCCAGATACTACTATACCAAAAATTTAATAAAATAAGGAAAATTAATGAAAAAATTTTGAAAAATTAAAATATATGAAGAGCGATAAATGAGTACAAAATATTTTTCCTTTCAAGGCGCAATTTGAAAATAAAGAGTCTTTTAAATATGCTATTGAATGATATCAGCAAGGCCATTTGTTTGTAAAATTTCTTGGGCTACTTGAGGAGATGATATTACAACCGTTGAAAGTTCACTAATTTGTAGGTGCATTATAGGACCATATTTTTGTGCTAATTTGTTGAGAGAATGATGGGGTAGTGAACCTATCAGTTGGTGCAAGTTTCCAATAAGAGGGATTTTCCATGGACCTGGAGGAAATTTTGAAGGAATTATGAATCTTTTGCTGTTGTTGAATAGCAAGAACAGGAAGGAAAATGCAGTGAGGGAAAAGGAAAATGGGATTTCCATTGTAGGGAAAATGGGATATTGGAGGAATATTGTGGCTATTAATTATATACAAATAATCAGATTTTTTTTTACGAATGATGTTATTCATAGTTAATGATTGCAGCAATCATCATATGTGATAGCTTGTTATTTGATGCATTAACTTGTTATTTGAGAAGACAGAATTACAGCAAATTAATGCCTCAAAATAACAAGATGTCGCATAAAATGACTACTATAGCTTTTGCTTTAAATTTGATTAGATTAAGTCTATGTTTGACTCATTATTTTTAGTTGTTTGTGCAACTCCTTTGTAAAAGACACTTTGATCAAATCACTTTTTATTCACACATTTTATAAGACTCAAAATTACCACTCACTTTTCTACCGATCATTTACCAATGTTTATAAGCACCCTTGTTTATTAACACTTGGAAGTGTTTTGTTTTCACACAAAATACAAACAATTTCTTGAAAAGCTATTTGCTCTTATTTCTCTTCCTATCTTCCTTTCTATATTATACAATTCTAATCATTGTTATGTACATACTACGTGGACTATATGAAAGTGTGTTGAACGTAAAATTTAAGAGGATGTTTGGTCTGGTTTAAAATTATATTTTTTTAGCAAATTGTGATAGAAATTTTTGAAATGTGTGGTTGAAAAGTTTATGGAACCCATAAAAGATGTGATTAATATTGATTATTTGACTTTGATTTAGATTAAAATAGAATTTTAATCGAAAACAAACATGTACTAAATAAATTATTTCTCTCCAACTATTTAAACTTTGAAAATGATAATTTTCAATACAAGACTTTCAAGGCCACTCAACAAGTGTATTTTTAAATGGGGATATATTTTAGGGAAAATTGCAACAGTGGTCCCAAACCTTTGAATTTTTTGCAGCCTTTATCCTAACATTCACTTAGTGCCACCAACAGTCCCTAACCTTTCATAAATTCGCAGCAGAGGTCCAAATGGATGAAAATCGTCCAATTTGATCATTAGTTGACAAATAAAATTGAACTTTGGTCAATTTTGACCTATTTAAAAGGGTAAAAGGGTAATTTGTTATTTCATCATATAAAACAATTAAAATAATTTAACTAAAACAAAAAAAAATGAAAAGGAAAAGGAAAAAAAACAACCACCATTGACTTTCAGCACCTCAGCCACCACCAATCCACACTGTTGCCATAGTAATGGTGGACACCATTGTCAATGCATAGCTACAGTAAAACAACGGTAATTTTGAGCAAAATGGCAATCAAAAATTTGAGTAAAACGACAGTAATTTTGGCTAGATTTGGTTAAAATTTAGACCATTTTCTCTCCCCCGGGGCATATCCCAATGGTGCAAATGATAGGAGTGAGGTAATCTCAGCCTTGCTGGCAACCGTAGTGTAAGAGTTCGATTCCTAAGATATGAAATTGGACTCTTTGTGGGCATCAGTGTAGGAGCAAACTCTTATTCCCTGACCTACTAGGACACATCCCGAAATTTGCCTCTTTCATGATGCTCTAGGGGCAGGGCGATGGGGACCCTCAAAGTTAGGGTTCAACCTTTTTTTATACCATTTTCTCTCTGTGTGTGTGAATTAGAGAGTCAGAAATATCCAATCAAAGGTTCCAGCGGTGCCTCTAGAGAACGGACCCTCAAATGTATCGTCCAGCTATCAAGCAATTCTATTGTCCAGCTATCAGGCAACCAGCTCGACCTTTTTACCATCTCCTCTAGGTTTCTATTTATGGGCGGCCTAATTGTCCCATTCGAGCCATTAGCAGAGGAAGCCATCGAAATCAGCTATGCAGTACTGCCGAAGCCCAATCCTTGCTCCTCCTCAGAAATTGGTTGATGCTGCTAGTTTGGTGGTGTGGGTTAGTGGTAGCTGGTGGCTAAGGAGAGTCGTGGTGTTGGATGGTGGCAGTGTGGTTTTCTGGTTTCAATTAGGGATGGGGGATGGGGAAGATGGTGAATGTATGTGTTTTCATTTCTTGATTTTTTTGATTTAATTTTTTAACTTATTTTAAGTATAAGATGGAAAGTTACCCTTTTAAATTCATCAAAATTTGTTAGAGTTCAATTTTATTTGTCAGCTAATGGTCAAATTGGATGATTTCCATTCATTTGGACCTCTGCTGCGAATTTGTGAAAGGTTTGAGACTATTGGTGGCACAAAGTAATTGTTATGATAAAATTTACAAAAAATTCAAAAGTTTGGAACCGTTGCCGCAATTTTCCCTATATTTTAAACAAAAAAATAAAAACACAAGCACCTTTTTCTATCAACAGTCAAATCATTAGTCCAAATATTTTAATATAGATTTTAGTCTCAAAATGTGGCAGGATCCGTTTTGTCCACAAAGTCAAATAAAATTTAAAGCCTATTTGGCCTCATTTTTCCAATCTTTTGTCAACAATTGTGGGCCCGTGTTAAAAAATGAGACAGCCACCTTGACAAAAGCTGAGACCGAAATCGTTTCAAGCTTTTGTTTGAAATTAAGCATTTGCGTCTTTTTATTTTTGTCCTTCAATCAAAATTTTATTTTTTTCATTGCCTGTCCTTCACTTTGAATTTTATTCTTTCATTGAGGGCAAATTAGTCTTCAAATATCAATGGATAGTATTGTCTCTGTCCATTTTTGACACTGTCTTGCGTTTGTAGAACAGTCACTTGTCAAATACTGTAGAAAAATGAGTTTTGGCCGAAAAATTTGACAAAAATGTGGACTAAACACACGCTTAGATTTTAGTCCAAACAAAACATGCACTGAATAAATTATTTCTCTCCAACCATTTAAACTTTGAAAAAGATGATTTTAAATACAAGACAAGACTTTCAAGGCCACTCAACAAGTGCATTTTCAAATGGGGATATATTTTTTTAAAAAAATAAAAATACAAACACTTTTTCTATTAGCAGCCAAATCATTAGTCCAAAAACCGATAATATTTTAATCCAGATTTTAGTCTCAAAATGTGGCAGGATTCGTATTGTCGACAAAGTCAAATAAAATTTAGATTTTAATCCAAATTAAACAT